TTCCCGAACTATTATCTCGCAAATTTAATTTTTCGAAAATTTTTCCAAAATATTTTTGAGTGTAGCTCAGCATCCGCTGGACCAATCAAAAAGTGCGCCATACATTTTTTGTTCGAAAATTTTTCCCTATTTTATTGGTGGTATTCCCGAACTATTATCTCGCAAATTTAATTTTTCGAAAATTTTTCCAAAATATTTTTGAGTGTAGCTCAGCATCCGCTGGACCAATCAAAAAGTGCGCCATACATTTTTGGTGCAGAACTTTCTTCTAACTACTTTGGCGGTATTCCCGAACAATTATGTCGTGAATTTAATTTTTTGAAAATTTTTCCAAAATATTTTTGAGTGTAGCTCAGCATCTGCTGGACCAATCAAAAAGTGCGACATACATTTTTTGTTCAGAACTTTCTTCTAATTACTTTGGCGGTATTACCGAACGATTATCTCGCGAATTTAATTTTTTGAAAATTTTTCCAAAATATTTTTGAGTGTAGCTCAGCATCCGCTGGACCAATCAAAAAGTGCGCCATACATTTTTTGTTCAGAACTTTCTTCTAATTACTTTGGCGGTATTACCGAACGATTATCTCGCGAATTTAATTTTTTGAAAATTTTTGCAAAATATTTTTGAGTGTAGCTCAGCATCCGCTGGACCAATCAAAAAGTGCGCCATACATTTTTTGTTCAGAACTTTCTTCTAATTACTTTGGCGGTATTACCGAACGATTATCTCGCGAATTTAATTTTTCGAAAATTTTTCCAAAATATTTTTGAGTGTAGCTCAGCATCCGCTGGACCAATCAGAAAGTGCGCCATACATTTTTTGTTCGAAACTTTTTCCCTATTTTATTGGTGATATTCCGGAGCGATTATCTCGCAAATTTAATTTTTCGAAATTTTTTCCAAATTTGTTTTCTGGTGTAGCTCAGCATCCGCTGGACCAATCAAAAAGTGCGCCATACATTTTTTGTTCGAAACTTTTTCCCTATTTTATTGGTGGTATTCCCGAACTATTATCTCGCAAATTTAATTTTTCGAAAATTTTTCCAAAATATTTTTGAGTGTAGCTCAGCATCCGCTGGACCAATCAAAAAGTGCGCCATAAATTTTTGGTTCAGAACTTTCTTCTAACTACTTTGGCGGTATTCCCGAACAATTATGTCGTGAATTTAATTTTTTGAATTCCAAAATATTTTTGAGTGTAGCTCAGCATCCGCTGGACCAATCAAAAAGTGCGCCATACATTTTTTGTTAAGAACTTTCTTCTAATTACTTTGGCGGTATTACCGAACGATTATCTCGCGAATTTAATTTTTTGAAAATTTTTGCAAAATATTTTTGAGTGTAGCTCAGCATCCGCTGGACCAATCAAAAAGTGCGCCATACATTTTTTGTTCGAAACTTTTTCCCTATTTTATTGGTGGTATTCCCGAACTATTATCTCGCAAATTTAATTTTTCGAAAATTTTTCCAAAATATTTTTGAGTGTAGCTCAGCATCCGGTGGACCAATCAAAAAGTGCGCCATACATTTTTGGTTCAGAACTTTCTTCTAACTACTTTGGCGGTATTCCCGAACAATTATGTCGTGAATTTAATTTTTTGAAAATTTTTCCAAAATATTTTTGAGTGTAGCTCAGCATCCGCTGGACCAATCAAAAAGTGCGCCATACATTTTTTGTTCAGAACTTTCTTCTAATTACTTTGGCGGTATTACCGAACGATTATCTCGCGAATTTAATTTTTTGAAAATTTTTGCAAAATATTTTTGAGTGTAGCTCAGCATCCGCTGGACCAATCAAAAAGTGCGCCATACATTTTTTGTTCGCTACTTTTTGCTAAAGATTTTGGCGGTATTCCCGAACTATTATCTCGCAAATTTAATTTTTCGAAAATTTTTCCAAAATATTTTTGAGTGTAGCTCAGCATCCGCTGGACCAATCAAAAAGTGCGCCATACATTTTTTGTTCGAAACTTTTCCCCTATTTTATTGGTGGTATTCCGGAGCGATTATCTCGGAAATTTAATTTTTTTAAATTTTTACCAAATTTGTTTTCCAGTGTAGCTCAGCATCCGCTGGACCAATCAAAAAGTGCTCCATACATTTTTTGTTCGCTACTTTTTGCTAAAGATTTTGGCGGTATTCCCGAACTATTATCTCGCAAATTTAATTTTTCGAAAATTTTTCCAAAATATTTTTGAGTGTAGCTCAGCATCCGCTGGACCAATCAAAAAGTGCGCCATACATTTTTTGTTCAGAACTTTCTTCTAATTACTTTGGCGGTATTACCGAACGATTATTTCGCGAATTTAATTTTTCGAAAATTTTTGCAAAATATTTTTGAGTGTAGCTCAGCAACCGCTGGACCAATCAGAAAGTGCGCCATACATTTTTTGTTCGAAACTTTTTCCCTATTTTATTGGTGATATTCCGGAGCGATTATCTCGCAAATTTAATTTTTCGAAATTTTTTCCAAATTTGTTTTCTGGTGTAGCTCAGCATCCGCTGGACCAATCAAAAAGTGCGCCATACATTTTTTGTTCGCTACTTTTTGCTAAAGATTTTGGCGGTATTCCCGAACTATTATCTCGCAAATTTAATTTTTCGAAAATTTTTCCAAAATATTTTTGAGTGTAGCTCAGCATCCGCTGGACCAATCAAAAAGTGCGCCATACATTTTTTGTTCGAAACTTTTTCCCTATTTTATTGGTGATATTCCGGAGCGATTATCTCGCAAATTTAATTTTTCGAAATTTTTTCCAAATTTGTTTTCTGGTGTAGCTCAGCATCCGCTGGACCAATCAAAAAGTGCGCCATACATTTTTTGTTCGCTACTTTTTGCTAAAGATTCTGGCGGTATTCCCGAACTATTATCTCCCAAATTTAATTTTTCGAAAATTTTTCCAAAATATTTTTGAGTGTAGCTCAGCATCCGCTGGACCAATCAAAAAGTGCGCCATACATTTTTTGTTCGAAAATTTTTCCTTATTTTATTGGTGGTATTCCCGAACTATTATCTCGCAAATTTAATTTTTCGAAAATTTTTCCAAAATATTTTTGAGTGTAGCTCAGCATCTGCTGGACCAATCAAAAAGTGCGCCATACATTTTTTGTTCAGAACTTTCTTCTAATTACTTTGGCGGTATTACCGAACGATTATCTCGCGAATTTAATTTTTTGAAAATTTTTCCAAAATATTTTTGAGTGTAGCTCAGCATCCGCTGGACCAATCAAAAAGTGCGCCATACATTTTTTGTTCAGAACTTTCTTCTAATTACTTTGGCGGTATTACCGAACGATTATCTCGCGAATTTAATTTTTTGAAAATTTTTGCAAAATATTTTTGAGTGTAGCTCAGCATCCGCTGGACCAATCAAAAAGTGCGCCATACATTTTTTGTTCAGAACTTTCTTCTAATTACTTTGGCGGTATTACCGAACGATTATCTCGCGAATTTAATTTTTCGAAAATTTTTCCAAAATATTTTTGAGTGTAGCTCAGCATCCGCTGGACCAATCAGAAAGTGCGCCATACATTTTTTGTTCGAAACTTTTTCCCTATTTTATTGGTGATATTCCGGAGCGATTATCTCGCAAATTTAATTTTTCGAAATTTTTTCCAAATTTGTTTTCTGGTGTAGCTCAGCATCCGCTGGACCAATCAAAAAGTGCGCCATACATTTTTTGTTCGAAACTTTTTCCCTATTTTATTGGTGGTATTCCCGAACTATTATCTCGCAAATTTAATTTTTCGAAAATTTTTCCAAAATATTTTTGAGTGTAGCTCAGCATCCGCTGGACCAATCAAAAAGTGCGCCATAAATTTTTGGTTCAGAACTTTCTTCTAACTACTTTGGCGGTATTCCCGAACAATTATGTCGTGAATTTAATTTTTTGAAAATTTTTCCAAAATATTTTTGAGTGTAGCTCAGCATCTGCTGGACCAATCAAAAAGTGCGCCATACATTTTTTGTTCAGAACTTTCTTCTAATTACTTTGGCGGTATTACCGAACGATTATCTCGCGAATTTAATTTTTTGAAAATTTTTCCAAAATATTTTTGAGTGTAGCTCAGCATCCGCTGGACCAATCAAAAAGTGCGCTATACATTTTTTGTTCGAGACTTTTTGCTCAATTTTTTGGCATTATTCCCGAGTCATTATCTGGCAAATTTTTTTTTTCGAAAATTTTTCCCCAGTTTTAGTGAGTGTAGCTCAGCATCCGCTGGACCAATCAAAAAGTGCGCCATACATTTTTTGTTCGAGACTTTTTGCTCAATTTTTTGGCATTATTCCCGAGTCATTATCTGGCAAATTTTTTTTTTCGAAAATTTTTTCCCAGTTTTAGTGAGTGTAGCTCAGCATCCGCTGGACCAATCAAAAAGTGCGCTATACATTTTTTGTTCGAGACTTTTTGCTCAATTTTTTGGCATTATTCCCGAGTCATTATCTGGCAAATTTTTTTTTTCGAAAATTTTTCCCCAGTTTTAGTGAGTGTAGCTCAGCATCCGCTGGACCAATCAAAAAGTGCGCCATACATTTTTTGTTCGAGACTTTTTGCTCAATTTTTTGGCATTATTCCCGAGTCTTTATCTGGTAAATTTTTTTTTCAAAAATTTTTCCCACGATTTTTTGAGTGTAGTTCAGCATCCGCTGGAGCAATCAAAAAGTGCGCCATACTTATTAGGTTAATTTGTGGGATTTATAGGAACTTTACTTATGTCTGACTCAAAATCCAGTCTATTAAATTGAAAAAATCGAAAGTTTTTCGAAAACCAAAAATTTATTTCAAGATTGCTCTAATCCTTTTATGGTTTGGTAGATAAAACATTAACCTGTGTAAAACTATAAAATTTTAAAAAATAATAAACTATATAAAGAAGCTATATAATTTGTTTTTATTAATTCAGTAGTAATAATTAAAATATTTATATATATATAATTTACAATTTCTTGGCAAAATAGTAAAAAAAAATGCAAAAAATGATTATTATCTTTTTAGAGTTATGGACTCAATTGAAGAGTCAATAAGTTCTGGTGTAAATGTCCTTCATGCGAGCGTTGCTTGTATTGTTGCAATGCTATCGGCACTTCAAGAATTATGCGAAGGAAAAGCAATAAGTCACAAATATACATGCACAATTAATAGTCTCTATGATGATCTTGAATCATGTGATTATCGTGGTCCATTGACATATCAATCGATGGCACGTCTTCCAAAAACTTATCGTGAACAATTGGAACTAATGAAAAAGGGAACCTATTCGGATTCTGAATCATCAGGTCATGGTCCATCTGAGGATGGTGATTCAACTGATACTGAAGGTCCACACGAGTCTGATGATGTTAATGAGGATACAAGTATTGATGATACTGATTATGCATTGGAAAATGAACGCGAACGATTAAGATTGGAGAAATTACCAAAATGTTTACATGTTGGTCGACAAGTTGCTGAGGAATGTAATGTTGATGTTGAACGTCATAATGCGCGACGTTTTGTTAAAACATTGAGAAGTGATTTAATACCAATGATTCTTAGTTTGAGAAGTAATATTGAGGTTGATGAAGCGTTGCAGAATTTTGCTTCCGAATATTGTCACAGTACGTGTGTGATTAAAGTTTTAACTTTTTTTTTATGATTGGAAATTAAATTAATTTTCTAATAAGCTACAATAGAGTTAATTTCAAAAAGAATCAATTTGTTACTTCTGTATTTGATACTTTCAAGTTAACTATGAAATTATTTGGGCGGTTTTTTTCAGGTGTATTTACTTCACAACAGAAATTCCAAGAACAATGTGATTCTAATAAAGATTCTTGTTCGTTGCTTACAATTATGAATGCTGATGGAATATATTTAGCAACTTATGCTGCATTACTTCTTAATTTGAAATTAATTAAACTTAATTATTATGAGGAAGAGGGACGACAGGTGCCAATTAACGAGGTGTGTTTGTGGTGTTTTTCTTTTATATGAAGTTCATGGAACTTTCTAGAAAATTCATCCAACTGAAAACTTTATGAAATCTTCCTGCAATTTCATGGAACATTCTATAAGCTTCATCGTAAATTTGAAAACCTTATTTAACCTTCTGGAAACAATCTGGAATTTTCTAGAAATGTCTATAGAAATTTTATAGAACTTTATGTAACTGTCTGGAGACTTTGTAAAAAGTTCTATGTACTTTGTGAAACCTCTAAAAAGGCTGAATATAATATTTAAAATTATTAAAATCTTTTAGGAACAATTTGTTGAAGAGGTACACGGATCAGGAGTATTGGTTTATTTATCAGCAACTTGGCTCTCTGAATTGTATCAACAAATTTTAGCTTGCAATCTTCTTGAAAAAAGTGGTTATAATCCAAATTCAACAGAAAACAGTGCACTTGTTAATGTTCTCATTGGTTAGTTTAATTAATAACTAAATATAGAAAGTTGTGTCTATTTTTGTTGTACTAAACTAGGCAAATATTTACAGATGTCGATGGAATAAGCGGAAGTCAAAGAGGTGGACAATTTCTCTCTGATTTCCGTCGATTAGAACGTGCACAATTATCGCGTAGTGAACCCACAACAGAAGCAGAAGCCGGTGCCAAATTATCAAGACGTGTGTTGACATGTTGTTGGGACAGTATGATTGCTGTTCTTGCAACAGGTTTAAATCCATGTAAAGAAGAAAGTGGCAAGGGAATATTAAATAAAGACGGTGGCAGTAGATGTGTCAAAGATACAATTATTTTAGCATTGGAGGGCCTTCATAAGGCGGCAATTTTAAGCAATATTTTAGGTATTTTTCTTTAAAATCGTCTAGAAATTTTGTTTTATTACTGATGTTTTACTTTTTTCTTTCAAAGGATTGCAAAATCGTTGCGGAGCTATATTTGCCCTTTTGGCAAAAGCCGCATGTTCTGAACAGTCAATTTCAAAATTGAGAAGAACCAAAGATGTTCTTAGGCTGAAATTACAGAATAGAGCAACTAATTTACATTCGTCACATGCTTTAAGTATGGAAGTACTTTTAGGCAGGGGTTTAGAATTGGGTAGCCATGGAAGTGATTGTTGGCCTCATATTTTTACGTAAGTTTATTTGGTTTGCTTTTTGATAGAACTTTAAAGTATAAAAGTAACAAATTTTTCAGTTGTTGCCTCTATGTAAGTAAATTGGAACATGATTTCTTTGGAAAGAATCAAAATCCAACAATGCCAAAGGTGCAGCATAAAAAGGAGAAAAAAGAAACAGATACGAAATCAAATAAACTGAATTTTAACATTGATGATGATGAGACATGGTATGTTGGAGAAACAACAAAACATTACTTTTCTAGTGGTACTAAATTTTTGATTATTTTTACAGCGTTGATGTGTACAGTTTTCTATCGAGTCCCTATACGCAAAATATTGGAATAGACACAATTCCGGAAATAATTCAAGAATCAAATGCCGATAGTCAGTTTAATGGTATTCTTCCCGCTGATTATGCAGCAAAAATAATTTGCGTTCTCTCACAGCAGGTGGATAGATTATTTGAGGATGCAGCATTAAAACTGAATTTACGTGCTCTTTGTTTCTTTTTAACCGCATTGTGTAAAGCTAGTAAGGATCAGCTATTCAAAAATATTGATGGTGTCAAGGAGAACAGACGAGTCTGGTGGAGGAGAAGTAAACCAAGAGAAGATGAATTAAACGTTCTGCTGTTGAGTAGATTGGGAGAAGTAATGTTGAAATGTGTTAAAAGTGGAAGACCCTTGATTCACGTGATGAGGGTAAATTGGAATCAAATAATAAATTTAAATAGTAAATTTAAATAATATAAATAATAATAATTTTGTTTCCGTTTTGGGTAGGTTTGGAGTATTTTAGGACCACATTTTATGGAAGCAGCTTGCCATAAGGATCGTAGTATTTCGAAAAAAGCTGTTCAATGTATTCATGATTCAATGACAGCGCTGTTGAACGAACAAGTTGAATTGGCTCATTTTCATTTTAATGAAGCTCTCTTTAAACCATTTGAAAATCTTCTTTGTTTGGAATTATGCGATAGCGATGTTCAAGATCAGGTAAGTTATCTAAATTCATTTTTTGTCCTTTAATATTATCAGTTTTCTTTTGCAGATTGTCAGTTGCATTTGTGAATTTGTTGAGACAAATCGAACTGAAATACGTTCAGGTTGGCGTCCACTTTTTGGTGCATTGAGAATTGCCTCGGTTGGCAATTCGGATAGTGTTGAATCAGCGCCACTATTGGAAGTATTTCGAGTATTCCTTTCAACGGATAATACATTGGTGTTTGCGAATGCAGCACTCGATTGTATTTTATGTCTATTGAGACACGTGAGAGGTTCAGCTGAGACTGACAATTTGGATAATGATCAGGATATTGATATATTGGAGGCAAGAAAAATGCGATTGTGCGTTGAGAGTTTGAAATATCTTTTGAGTTGTAGTGATATTTTAGCGTCAATGTATAGAATGCCAGCGTGTCCAATATTTCATTCGGCACAACGTATACCAATGTCAACAATTCCACAGTATGTTGATCCAAATATTCCAAATGTTGAAATAATGAAATTTGATGAGAAAATTGATGAGAATATACCGGAAATGTCTTATGATATATTGACAAAAATTGATCCTAGTCAAACGATGACATTGCAGAGTTTGGATAGACCAAGTGGTATATTGAGAGTATGGTATATTTTAATAGAAGGTTTGGCTAGCGCAACAATGATTTGTCCACGAAGATATCAACCACATGTTCTTGAAACATTTTTTCATTTATTGAGAGATACACTAAACGTTCCGGGACCAGCGTTTGGATTATATTGTGTAAATCATTTACTGTTACCAATGGTGCAAAATTGGTTAAGAAAAACGGCGAAAATTGTTCGTGGTTGGGATAATTTTGCTCCTAATTTTAAACAATGCTGTGGACTAACGACTGATTTGGTTGTTGATTTTGTCACTTATCTACAAGGACCAGAAGTGAAAAGGAATGATACATTTCTTCCGGCTACGACGTTAATGTTGAAGCAATTATTATTGGTAATGGCAGAATGTGTTGTTCAACCAACTGAAAGTATTGCACGTCTTGGCTGTGCTTGTATCAGGTGGGTTAATATAATTTTTTTTTGTCAAAAAGTAAGAAAACAATTGGTGACAGTGGTGGGATTTTTTTTTTAAATGCAATTATTATTTGCATTGATTTAATTAAAGAAAAGATGAAATAAGGAATGTAGAACTTGTATCGTTCGAATGAGCGTTGGTAAGATGATAATGAAGCTTGACAGGTTGTCGGGTGGGATAAAGTAGCCACCGATATTCGAAACTTCGTAGCACTCATACTCATGCACCTTGATTTCTGTCGTCGCATTTTATTCATATAAATGCATGGCACGCATCCATTGGTAATTCTATCCCCCCGATGACGGAGTATCGTTTTTATACCTACTATCCTTTAAAATGAAGCAGGTTCAGTTGACTATAACGTACATGGAAAACGGGATTTCGATTAGAATAAGTTTCTTGATTAAAATTTAGAATAGAAAAAAAGAAAAATCCCACCGCTGTCACCAACTTGTGTTACATTTCATTTTGGAAAATCTAGCAAGGTTTTGAATTTCTTTGGGGTTTTTTTTTTTAATTCTTTTTGGATTATTTTTGAGTTTAAGAAGAACAATTTTTTTTTGTTCATTGTCAGACACATGTTGGTGAGTAGTGGTCCAAATTTGACACCGGAACAGTGGGAAGTTTGCGGTGTGGCTTGTTATAGAGCGTGCTCGCATTCTCTTCAGGAGTTACATCAATTGACAATGGCTTTTTCGCCACGTTCAGAATCTTTTTACGGTGACGTTGCCCAAGTGAAGGTAGCGGCACGTCGTGATGTTTCGGCTGAAGAATCGGAACGTTTACGACAACTTGCTTCACAGGTCTGTAATAACATTTTTCTAAGTAGAGTCATTTTTTTAAAAAGTACATTTAAAAGAGCCGCAGTAAATTTTTGATATCCACGCCAGTCTTTATTTATAATATAAACTGCGCCTGTGATTCTGCTATAAAGACGGTATTTATAGGATATAATTCTAAGATTCATATCAATATACATACATACGCATTCTTTTCAAGTTAGGCTTTCCTTCGATTAATTTCAAGCGGGAAGCACGTTCTTGCTTTATTCTATTCATAATGAAAATTTAAAGCAAATTAAATTCTTTAGGACTGACACACTCTGAAGGAAAGGACCTAGGCATTATGTCCCTTTCTTCAGAGAACGTCACAAATAATTAAAACAAAACTTTATATTAGAAAGATACTAAAAATTTTCTTTTATTGAAAAAAACTTTTCGATTTGAAAATGAAAAAACAAAAATATGTGAAATGAGCAAATGTGCTTCCCTCCTGACGTGACTTGCTCCCAGGTAAGCCAGCTGCGAGAGATATTGACTGCCATCAAGAGGCAGAGTGCGACATCACTGCTTACGACACCTTTCCAGGATACGATGACCATTGAGACGACACTGATTGATCAGCACACTACTTCCTATCCCGTCGGTTGTAGGCAGCACACGACACCCCCCGATTACACTAACACTACGTCGAACACGGGCCCCCATTGGCTCTAGTTGTCCACGGTAACTCTCGTCATGGATTTTAAAAATTTTCGATACTACCCCCCCCCAAAAAAAAACCCTTCGGTTTTCTATCCTCCTCCCTTAAAAAAAAAGATATAATATATTTTGTAGTCTTCAGAATTCAATTACGTCAATATCAGTCGTCGTCGTCGTTGAAGTTAAATGTCGGTAGGCCAAGACCTTTTGGCTTTTAATTAGTAATTCAAATTTTTTCGCTTCTTTATATTATATATTTAGATTCATTTCTATTGTCATGGAAATTAACAAATTTTCTTTTTTTTTACACTTTTCGGCTGTTTATTATTCAAAATTAAATTTTTAATTTAGAAATAAAAAAATTAGAATTTAGAAATTAAATATTTTAGAAAGCAAATTAATTAGAAATTAAATTTTTTTAGTAAGCAAATTAATTAGAGCAATAAATAAATTGTATTCATAGAAATTTGAATGACTTTTGTGTAGAATATGAGAGAAGTATAATATTATATGAATTTATTTTTTACTGGTGGAAACGGCCTGCCGATAATTTTTCGATATAATGCAGTTTTTAAATCGCATTAAAAAAAAAAAAAGAAAAGAAAAACACTTGAATGCACTCGCTGGTAGAAGGCACTCGAGATCCATTTGCAGGATTTCATTGACTGGGTCCTTCCAATTATTAAAATTTCATTCTTTCATCTTTTACATTTTTTCAAATACATATATATCTCTAAAGAAAAAAAACACGAAGGACCCTGTCGAAAGTGATTATATAGAAATCATTGCGTTTTGAAGTGGCACGGTCTTGTGAATCACCATTAAAATCCATGGCTTGAGACCATGGCTAGAATTTATTTCACTCTCTCTCTCTCACATATATATGTAATAATTTTTTTTTTCTAATTATAAATATTACACCTCTCATAGAAGAAATGCAGCTTTAGTAGTGCGCACACGTATTATTATAAACGAACAATTAAAAAAAAATCACATTTACTTATATATATTGACATTAGTCATCACATATTTGATACTCTCGTTTGCCCTTTTTTATACCAAACACTAACATAGAATTTAGAGGCTAGATTAATATTGATTTTAATACTGAATAGCATAATCGAAATCTAAAAGTGGTTTTCTAAATTCGTCTATTTAATATTTATTTAATTTCATTTTTAATTTCATTGATTTTATCTTCCAGGTGGAATAATTTTTGTTTTGTATGCCCAATATGAGACTGTCTTCAACGTGTGGATAAATTTAATCTTCCGAGAGGTTAAGATATATTCTGCGTCTGCGCAAAAGCAAACATCCTGCGCAGATGCAGATTATATCTTAACCTCACGGAGGATTAAATTTATCCACACGGTGAAAATGGTCTCATTTTGATGATCTTTTAATTAGATTTTTTTTTGTTTTTGTTTCATTAAAGAAAAGGAATATAAAAATGAAAAAAGAAAGAAGATATATTATAATAATTAAATAGGATTAGTTTAGAAAATCACAGAACGTTTTGCTTTAACAGAAAGAAATGTTTTTGCTTCTGATGACATTTCTCAATATTGTGCCCTAGGTATTCCTCCTAGAGGAACAACGAGCAGATGATAATTTAAGGTCTTCCGATGGCAGATCTTATGTCTTCCTACTATATCCCCAATCGATTGAAACAACTCTTAACCCTGATTTGTATATAATAAGAGTACATCTGAGAGCTTTAGTTGTTGGACTTGTGGTTCATCAAATGCTTCTTCATTGCATTGCAAGTGTCCTTCTTCAAGGCTTTGGTCCCCTAATGCCAAGGTAAATTTCATTTCCCCCTTTTTTTTCCAATATCTTATCTCATTTTGAAATTTCAATTTTTTCCTTCTTGAATTGTTTCAGTATTTCTCATGTGATCCTAGGTCCAATGACATCATCAAAATTACCAACATCAGCTGGCCTTGTGAATTTAAGGCCCCATCATATTGAAACTTTTCTTGCTGCTCTAGATCTTTCTTATTCGGCAGCTTTAAAGTTTGATGCACGACCAAGTCTCAAATTTCTAGTTCAAAAAGTCGCGAATTTAGAAAAGCCAGCTAATCTCTATCGACAAGCTGCAGCCTCTTGGATGATTAAAATTATGACACTTTTTGAATTATCCCTACGTGAAATTGAACGAACTAATGTTGATCTTGATAATGTGAAAGCCCTCCTGCGAATTGATTCAAAGAATCATGATAAATATTCAGATCTTGTGAAATATTTGAAATATTTACGTGTTGCATTTAATGAATTGTGTGAGACTTATTCTGCAATTGTAATGGATAAGGACGGTAGATATACACGTATTGATGGGTTTTCCGAGAGAAAAGTATTTCTCCTTGTTGCACAACCTGATGAGTACGCTGAAATTAAAGATGAACCACCGCAAGACGATGGAATTGAGGAAAATACTGGATTTACAACTGATGATGATGATCATGATGAGGATATTTATAATCCTAATGTTGAGGAAGAATTAGAGGAATTGGGTTTGAAAGTTGAAAATGAAAAGGACGAGAGACCTTTTAGACTTTCGGATTTAGCTGTTGAATATTCAACTGATTCGGGTCCTGAATCCGAACCAGAAACTGATGATTCAAGACCTGCTTCGAGATTAGGTTCAATAAATGATAGAATTGTTTATCCCGATCGATCAGGATGTACATCAAGTGAAGGATGTATTGATTCGAAAAATTCATTTACACCCGAACCACTCAAGAGTTGTTCGAGTGAGGATCAACTTACAATTAAACTAAATCCAAGATCAAAAAGTACTGTCGAGAAAAGAAAATGGAATAAAGATGAATATGAAGATGTGGAAATGGAGAGAACACCATGTAAATATTTTGAAAGAAGAAATAGTGACATTTGTATTATGTCTCGTGGAATTGATTTTGATGAAAAACTTTCTAATAAAGTTTCATTACGATCAAAATCAGCAATGGAACTTCAATCATTTGATTTAAAAAAATTGCAAAATCAATCGAGAATGAAAAATGCATTGGAATTAAATCCTTCTGATAATGTTGAAGCACTATTGGAGGATTATAAAAGAAGTAAAAGGGGTTTTAGAACGAATCCTTTTCTTGAGGACGACGATGAAAAGATGCTTGTTGCAAATCAATATATTTTCAGTCAAGTATTTGAATTTGAATTTCAAAAGAGAAGTACAATTAATAAGGACAGTGAGGCACATCGAAAAGCATGGGCTGAAACTTTAAATGCAACATTCGATTCGGTTTTGGCACTATCGGTGAGTAATTTTTTTTATATAATTGATTTTGAAATATTTTGGGTTTCTAGTTTTCTTTCTTTTTTAGAGTTTCGTGACTCTAGTCTGATATTTTTTTCGGAAAATGCTAATATAAAAAATTACCGATCTAGAAATCTACCTTACCGACTGATGGTAAAGAAAAAAATTTGAAAAATGAAAATATAAAAAATTACCGACACAGAAATCTACCTTACCGACTGATGGTAAAAGCGTTTTGAAAAAGTTGATAAAATTTCAAAAAAAATAATTCTTTACCATCAGTCGGTAAGGTAGATTTCTGTGTCGGTAATTTTTTATATTGTCATCTTTCCAAAAACTTGTTTTTACCATCAGTCGGTAAGGTAGCGCTCGCAAATAAAATTTAATTTTGCAAACGCGCATTACAAAGATAAATATTTATTTATTATAATATTTTAAGGATTAAAACTTAATTTAATACACGTAAATCGGACCCGTATAATTCGGATTCCCGCTTATATCGGATTTTCTTCCGGTTCCTTGAAATCCGATATACGTGGGTTTCACTGTATTATTAAAAAAAAAATACAAGCCGATTCCAATTTTCCAGAATACCCGCACTGATTACAGATCACAGATAATTTGAAAAGGGACAAATTATTGTTCACAGGATGAGCGATTGGCGCCGTTACTTCCGGTCCTGGTAGGCGGTGTCAGAATTTTGACGAGACACGCAACTGATCCGTCTCTAAAGCAGAGATTATCGGCTGTCTTTCAACGCATCATAACAATATATGGCTTGGCAAGTAAATAATAAGCGAAAAAATTGTTATTGAATAAATTGAAGACAAAAAAAAGAAGAAAGGAATGGATAAAAAAATAAGGAAGTTTAAAAAGAAATTTTCAATTTTTCTTTATTTGCAAAGAAAAATTTTATTCTTTGAGAATTTTTAAAAAAATTGTCTCCATTTTTATAGTCTATATTAATGAAAACTTTTGTTTGAGGCAAGTAAAAACTTTAGTTTTCAATTATTTATTTGCTTCAAATATAAGTTGTGATATTTTTATTACAACGTTGTAAATATATATATTTTATTAGATTTCATTTGAAGAAACGTTATATTAGTTTTCAACTGCAATAGCTTTTTCTATAAATAAATTTAAATGCTTTATATTAAATGTTGGTATTGTAATAACAATTTTTATTGCTCGGGCTAGTCTTTTGAAAAATGTGTATATTTAACATTAATTATTAAATTCTAATTTTTTTTCGATATGTTTTAAGAATTTGACGTGCATAAAAAAAATATCTTTAATCTAAAAGAGAAAATTTATGTATTTAGTTAGCAAAAAAAAAGAGCAATGAACAAAAAGTATATTCATAAATGTAAATCTTTATGTGCGCGTTTTTACAAAAGGGGTTAAGAGTATATTGAAATATTAATGAGAATGAGCAGAAAATTCAGTAAAAAATTTTTGAAGCATTTTCTCTCTTATTTTCTGCAAAAATATCAACAAGAATCTCTCTTTTTTTAAAAAATAATTTAAAAAATGCTATTTAACGCGCATCAGAGGACTTTACGCATGCGCGTTTAAAAATTGCGCTTGCGCGATACGAGTCTAACCTTTAAATAGTTGGCTACTTAAGTAGCCATCATTTTTTGATGATAATTTTACTTATCAAATAAATAATTTCAGAGTATGAATAAATAATGTAAGAAAAATGTATAAGATTATGGAAGATGAGCGTTATTTCGAATGCTATATATTGTAAAGTATTTCAGTATTTTTGCGATGAATGGCCATACAATAAATGACAATATACGCAAGCTGTCTTGCTTTTTGGAATATAGTGTTTGTTGTTTTATTTCTTAAAATCTAAAAATTTTTTTTTTTTTAGAACAAATTCTGTTTCTTTTTTTTCTGCTTATCTCTGTAAGACAAGATCAGTTTATTATTTATGATCTATTCTCTACTCTTACGGCTTTCGACGATTATTTATGCTCTTTGCACTTAACTGTAGTCTGTGGTTCCCTCGTAGGCGAGGGAATTGCAATGAAGTATTTGGTTTCAACAACTCGTAACTTTGTTATTCATCAAGAAAGAAAGAGAGAGAAAAGTAAGTATTTCAATGAAGGTCTATCTCGAATGGCACCATTTGATATTAATTTCATATTTAGTTTCATCTTATCATACGGTTGTTAAGTAGGATTTTTTTTTCTCCTATAAATATTTCTCATTAGCTTTTTCAAGTGTGTGACATACTTTTCATTTATGTTTATGCAAAATTAATATTTATGTTTTAACTTTTTCTTTACACTGATTTCTAATGACTTTTCTTTTTTTTTTGAAAAGAAACTAAATAATTGATAACTGAAAAAAAATTTGTAAAATTTTTTTTCTGTAAAATGGCACTCTATGAAAAATGATAAAATAAAAAAGGCTGATGAGAGAAAGAGAGAGAAAAAAAGAGATTTGAGTTTGCGTCTGCGGTTGGGCAAGCCGAGTCATCCATGTCTCGTAAAGAGAGGAGCTTACGAGCAAACGGTCGTCTTTCCTTTATTCCATGGCTTTATTTCTCATCTTCCATTGGCAGGAATTGTTTGAGGGTTGAGGTTGTAAAAATAAAATCAAAAAAAAAAAAAAATTGTACAAAATAGGTTTAGGATTTTTATTTATTGTGTCCCGCGACTATTGTCTGATATGTGTGTCATCTATTATATACACCGGATACAAAAATTTACTTTTATTTTTACTTCCACACTCTTTATATTTTGGTCACATCGTAAAGTCCAAGGAAATAAATTTTTTTTGCGGTTTTTTTTTTATTGTGTCAGAAAAAATATATAATAGTTATTTTTTTTATTAGGTGTTGACTGATTTTTTAAATCGATGTTACAAAGATTTATGACTCTTAAAGTTTAGTTAAAAAAAAATAATCGAAATATTTAAATCTTGTATAGAAATAGAAGAAATATTAGAGTTTCTGAGAAAATCGAAAGAAGGGAAAAATCAATGTTCGTCGTGTAATGTATAGTTTCTAGAGAATAAAAAAAGACAAGAATGAATATTTTGTCAAGCTGGATGAAAGGGATGATTTTCTATATGTATATATATATGGAGAGAGAGAGAGAGAGAGAGAGAGTGGAAGTAAAATATAGTTATTAGCTGTGAGCACCAAGAGAAATGGTGGATTGTATATTACAGGACTGAACTGGAGCCATGGGGTAGGAATGGTAGATTGCTAATAAAGGGAGGTCTGGCCAGACCGCAACTATCCATCGCTTCGTCACTCGCAGCAACCTTTAAATATTAAATGGAGCTCGCTACGCTCGTAAAAAGGATTATCCATGCCCTCTCAACGCCCCCAGATAAAACCATGACAATTTATCAGTTTTCTTCCAAGTCTTTCAATCTCGTTTGTTACATTCGTTCCTCTCTTTATAATAAATCAATATATTAGTTTTCCCTAACCATTACTTTTTAATTTCATGTTTAATTTTATCAATAATTTTCCTTTCATGTTTACGTCTATCACTCTATTTGTACTCTAACTCCAAATTAGTAAATTTCTACTAATTTTTAGTAAAATTACTATAAAATATAATGAAATGTAAGCAACGAAAAAAAAATTCGAGGGAGTGACGTTTTGTATTACCGATAGTGAACACTAGGAGCGCTGCCATCGCGTCACTATTTCATTAATTCAATTAGTAAAAAATATTTAAATCAGTAAAAACACTTACTAATTTTAGTTATATTTCTGCAAAATCATTAAAATCTATTAATTCTACTAATTCATTAGTAAAATAATAAAATTGAAAAAATAAAAATTATTGAAGGGTTTTTCTTTCATACGAAGACGTAAATTAACGAATTCGGCAAGATTTTTATTTCATGGAAAATATCTATGCATATGTACAACAATATATATATCGTTTCTTTTTCCCATTGAGAAGATGAGTCTAAAAATTGTATTTTTACAAAGTCCCATCTCATTTTGTGTATATATAATGTAGTTTACATTAAAAGCTTTTTTTTTTCATTTTCACTCGCACAATAGTGTCCCTCAACTCGCATTGATTTTAAAAATTCACTTTTTTTCAGAATAATTTTTCCAGAGCAATAATTTTTTATAATTTACAAAAAAAAATTTATATCACACTAATTTGGTTCTTTTTTTTATCACTGGTTCACTCAAATAGTCGTTTTCACAAAAAAAAAATTGGTTCTATATATATTGGATTTTGAACTATTTTTTATTCCCCCTCCTTGAAGAAGATGAGTGTCTTGCTACAAAGAAAGATAATTCGAATTAGAGAATATTTTTTTTTTTTTTTTTAGTAAGGTCGCCAAACATCATTTCTTTGTTCATTTTCTTCTCCCATAACACCAATTTCAACACGATTACTATTGATTGTAAGACTTCCACTGGCAATTGTGACTTGATCATCATTGAGATCACCATGTAGATGAAGATGAATTTGATTTTGATTGACTGTACTGTATAATTGGGGATAAAGGACCATAGGTGTTGAATTAATATAATTTTGTCCAGGATTATTGTAATAGCCTTGATAATTGGGATTATAATTGTGAGATGGTACTGGAACAGGAGTTGTTGGACCAGCAGTCCATGAACCATAGTGATAACCTGGACTTGTACTTCCGGTTCCTCCACTAGCAAAAATTTCAGGATCACTAGGCTTTCCAGAAACTAGGGGTATTGTATTTGTTGTAGCTCCATGACTAGGGTACATGGTCACGCAGTTTGGAGTGTAAGCGTCCTGCTGACCATCTGATGGAAGAACTGCAAAACAATTTTATTTTTCAAATTATAAAAATACAAAATAAATAAAATATACATCCTGGATTGTAGTTGAAAAATTTTTCTAATATATTTAGCAAAACTATCCTTTAACGAAATTAAAATTTTTTTTTTTAATTTAAATTTCGCGCCCAGACTACTTTACCGACAGTACATAGACTGGAAACTCAAAGATTAAATTGCCACAGTTGTAAAGAATGGAAATTCAGTGAAATAAAAGTTATGCAACACTTTGCAAATTCTTTTTGTTATTCATAAAGTTGATTTCGAATTTTAATTCCTTTCTTTTTATTATTTACAGTTAAATAATCGCGATTATAATTTAATAAATATATAATATGCAATATTTATTTTCCTCGAAAACTGATTAGGGGAATGTTAATAAAAATTTTCATATATGTGAATCATTCTTAATAATATCAATTTTGTGAGAAAAATGATTTAATTAACGTTTAATAATTAATTTTTTTTCTAAATTAATTATTATTAACTAAATTATGGCCTATAATTTGGAGTTAATTTTTGAGAGGGGGTAAGACTAATTTTGAACTTACCAGTGGGTAAAGGTACTGGTTCTGTGGTAGGGTGATGTGCTAGAGACTCCCCAGGGTATGAAAATGCCCCACCTGGAATTGGTGAATAGGAACCACCACTTCCTGGTGGTGCTGGATAAGATGGTGCGGTTGCCGTATATGACCAATCTGTTGTACTTGTACTTGTGTCTGTAATCAAATTTATTACATTCTCAAATAATTGCTTCTTAAAATTTATATAGAAATTTCTTCTAAATTTGCTTTTTATTTTAATTATTTTATTATATTTTAATTATTTTATTATGTTTTAATTATTTTATTATATTCTAATTATTTTACTACATATATTGCGTTTATATTTTGAGCCGTGTTAATCAACCATATATAAATAAAGCCACTAATAATTATTGGAAATTATTTAAAATATATAATCGGTCATGAATGAAATTTCGAGTGAATAATGTGGAAAAGATTAATTACAATGAGTCATCAGCATTAAAACGATGCGGAAGGATAAACGATTGTTGGAATCGAGCGATGAACGCGAACTGTATAATATGTGTGTGTCATTTTAATAAAATTATAACAAATAAAAAGTAATCAAATTTCTGGAAAGTCCCCGATAATTAAAAGTTATTTAAGAAAAAAAATTGTTGTTTCATTTATATTGAATAAATACATAATTATTTTTAATTCTCTTGTGACTAAAAATAAAACTGAAATTGTTAAAGTACTACTTAGGCACTAAGTACTAAGTAGATACTAATCAGATATAGTTATTAGGTACTTAGTAGGTATTGATAAAGTACTAATTAAGTACTAAAGATGTATTAAGTAGGTTTTATTTTTAAAAAGCTAATTTTATAAATTAAAATAAAATTTTTTATTTTTAACAGAAAAATCGCAGAAAAAATCTGACGATAAATGATGAATCAATATTAGGTTTTGTGAAATCGATAAAATTTTTGATGATTTAAACTATATGAAACTGTGCGTTGACTAGTGGAAAGTACGCGCTTCGTAGACTGTCACTTTCGATGCAAGCAAATGACAAAACTCGATTCTCAAGGGCAAAGCATAGTTTCTGGTGAATCCCCTTTTCTTCATAATAATATTGTCGCTGGCGCGAGATAATTTTTAAATGAGATTCGTATATATTCATCATTCTTCTCAGCGACTAATGTAGAGAAAAGATTTCCCTGATCTTTGTCAGTGATTATTTTTGCTAATTTTTAGCTAAACATAAGCTAAATATTACATAGGGTGTTTTATTGTTGGCAAAAATGGCTGACTATTATTTAAAAACAGTTTAATATTAGCTAAGCAAGCTAAATATCAGCTAAATATTAGTTAAGGTTGCCAAATATTAGCTAAATATTAGCTAATATAGCTAAATACCAGCTTAACATTTGTTAGGGTGACTAAATTTTAGCTAAATATTAGATAATATGGCTAAATACCAGCTAAATATTAGTTAGAGGTGCTAAATATTAGCTAAATATTAGCTAAGGTCGCCAAATATTAGCCAAATATAGCTAAATACCAGCTAAATATTAGTTAAGGTAACTAAATTTTAGCTAAATATTAGATAAGATGGCTAAATACCAGCTTAATATTAGTTAACGTTGCTAAATATTAGCTAAGATGGCTAAATATTATCTATAACAGCTAAATATTAGCAAAATTGACTACATATTTTCTCTTATTTACCAACGTAGACTAATAAATAAAAAAATGAACATTATAAATTTTTATTTACAAGAATTAAAAAATATTTTAATATAATTTACATTCTTTTAATTAACTCTTGCTGAATGTATTGTATGGCAATTATTGTGTAATGACAAGAATGGCGAAAGATTATAATGAACCAAAAGAACAATAATTAAACTTTTCTCTAATAATATGGAAATTGATTCCAAGTTATTTGAAAAAGATTTATATTTCCTGCTTAGAAATGAGGCTATATTGCTTATGTGGAAATTCGCAGTTCACGGAAGGGACAACATAATCATGCTTAGAGACTTATACATATATATATATAGGTATATATATATATATATACTGACGTAGCAAACTTTTTAAGAGACACAAGAATCTGTCATAATAAGTAATTCATATTCACAGGAAATTCCTTCGCTACTTAATTTCTCAGAATTATTTTTAAATAGTTTTATGAATAACACTTTTTTTTACAATATTTATTTATATAGTTAATATTTCACTCAATGTGATTAAATAATTTTTTTGAAAGAAAATAAAAGAAAAGTATGGAAAAAAATTTATAAATTTAATAATTATAGGTATTGTAATTAAGTGTTAATTTATATTTAATTATAAGTTAAAGTTATTATAATTATCATATTATTGTAATAATTATAATTATTATACTATTTTGTAAATCTCAATCAAGGAAATGAACAATTTTGTATCTTTTCTAAAAATAAAACAAGTTGATGTTATACATTTACAAACATGGATAAATCTTGTTAAGTCATGGTCCATCTGACTCATGTTCATCATAAGCAATAATACAAGAGGAAACATTTAGGGTCATTGTTTATATACATAGAATTGGCATAGAAAAATATAATTTTTAAACAAAAGAGAATTTTTTTTTTAGTTACAAAAGAACAAAATGAAGCAATTTTTAAAAATTGTAATTAATGTAAAAGAAAACGGATTAAAAGAGGAAGTCTTGTAGAAATAAAAATTGATTATCAATTCTTCAAATTTAAGAAAAAAAAATTGAAATGGAAGAGAAACCGCCTACTACCGGGTATAAGGTTGATGTCGTGGATCCTGAAAACTGGTAAAACTGACGTTATACGCCTACCGTCGGAAGGTCGGGGTCGTTCTGAAATTCTCAAAGGGGACCGCTCCTCGCGTCCCGATGTATATATGTATATAGATATATATATGTGTATATGTGTACGAAAAAGGCGTCCGGGAGTGATTACCTAAATCGGTCCATATCTCGCCCGCAATTACCGGAACAACAATAACAAAACACAGCCACGTAGAATGGAAGGAGTAGTAAAGGACCATCTGTTGGATAATAATAATTCAGTATCTTCAAGGAAGAGGATGAAGAAACAATCTAAATGCAATATAACCATGATAGAGAAAGAAGGAAAGAAAGAAAGAAGCAAAAGAAGAACAAAACTGAGATCAGAAGAGTTAGAGAGGATGTAAAGAAAAGGAACTCTAAACGTTCCAATAGCCCCAAAAGGGGCCATCTCTTATTATCGATCTTATTATTTCGTTCGTTTCCTTTCAATTCGCCTCTTTTCACCTTCAGAAAAGTGCAAAAACAGCCTCCAGGACATTATGTACAATTTTTTTTTTTAAAAACTAAAAAATTGCTTTCCTTTTCTTCTTCTTTTGTTTAAGGTTATAACTATATTTTTATATTGCAGACAAATAGCACAAAATATTGCATTAATATTGCGTGACAATATTGCCTGGAAAATAGTACGGTAATATTGTTGCAACATTAATTTTTTTCCTGGCAATATTACCAAGCAATATTCCGATGAAATTGCCTGAAAAAATTACGGCAATATTGTTGTAACGTTGATTTTGTTCTCCGGCAATATTGTCAAGCAATATTCAAATTGCCTGGAAAAATTGCGGCAATATTAAGGCAATATTGTATAAAAATTGCGTATATTGTACGACAATATTTTTGCAAAATTGATTTTATTCACTGGCAATATTGCCAAACAATATTTAGGTAAAATTTCCTGGAAAAATTACGGCAATATTGAGGCAATATTGATTTTGTTCTGCGGCAATATTGCCAAACAATATTTAAGTAAAATTGCCTGGAAAAATTACGGCAATATTGCTACAATATTGATTTTGTTCTCCGGCAATATTGCCAAGCAATATTCAAATAAAATTGCCTGGAAAAATTATGGCAATATTGTCGCAAAATTGCGAATATTGTACGGCAATAATGAGGCACCTATCAATTTAAAGATTAACGGAAAGGAAATTTTTTTTTTTAATGTAATGATATATAGGTATGGTTTATAAATATACACAATATATAATGCATTTTGTGCTGGGGGGGGGGGGGTTAAAGAAAGAAACTAAGAAACGACGAAATAACGGCGGTCAATGGACGCTTCGTTAAGTAGATGGCTGGTCGGGGACTAAGCACCAAAACCACCTCGCTGTGGTTTCACACCCACAGAGCGGTAGTAAACAGCTCGGTCGAAGTTCCTTTGGTCAGGACTCGTGCGTTTCTTCGGTCAAGAGGTACACGCGGTTTCATCAATTGTAGTGTACGAAACCCAAAAAGACTTCCGGACGCCAAACCAGTTAAAAAGTCGATTGAGGAATTGTATATATATATAACCAATCGTCAATATTCCCAGGTGTTTGGAATCTTTTTTTAACGATATAATATCAATTCAATATTATATTATTTTGTATGAAAAAAAATTCCTCTTCCCCCTTCAACAATGACATGACAATGTTGCGAATATTGCAAGGAAATATTGAGATAATATTGTCACAATAATGCGAATATTATACGGCAATATTGTTGCAACATTGATTATTTTCGTTTGGCAATATTGTCAAGCAATATTGAGATAAAATTGCCCGGAAAAATGATGGCAATATTGTCGCAAAATTTCGTATTTTGTATGGTAATATTGTTGCAACATTGATTTTTTTCGATGGCAATATTCAGATAAAATTGCCCCGAAAAATTATGGCAATATTGTCGCAAAATTTCGTATTTTGTATGGTAATTTTGTTGCAACATTGATTTTTTTCGATGGCAATATTGACCAAGAAATATTCAGATAAAATTGCCCGGAAAAATTACGGCAATATTGCAGAAATCTTGGCAATATTGCCAAGAAATATTCAGATAAAATTGCCCGGAAAAATTACGACAATATTGCAGAAATCATGGCAATATTTCTGCAATTTCAGTTGGTGTGGTTCTTTTTCTCAAAAAAAAAAAAAAAAAAAAAAAAAAATTTCCAAATATTATAAAATATTTCTTTTCTAAATATTAATTCAAACGCTTTCTCGCTAAAGCAAGCGTGAACAACATAAAGCTTTAAGTTTCTATAATATAGTAATATAGCATATAATCATTGATTCAGTTCTGGTCTATGAGCGTGATGTTCGATGATCTGGTCTGTTGACTATGGATTCGCTCGATT